TGCGTTTTTCTTAGCCTGATGGCCGTGACTGTGGCTGTTGTCTTCCCATAGATCAGCCCACAACCTATCGTAATTTCTCGAATCCATCTCGTACTAGTTACAATCCTTTGATCTCGATGCCTTGCCGAGAAAGAAAAAAAAAAAAACACAATATTTATTCAAATATAATCAATTAAGATTTTTGAGATGGAATTGTGTTTTTGTTTTTGATGAAATTAAATTGAATCAGCATAGAATGTGTATATATAGGTACGTACATGAGGTATGTTTGTTAAGATGGTTTTAAAATTACACGAAAAGCTGGCGTTTTGTTTTAACAATAAGTGAAAGTTCTGAAATAACAAAAAAATTGGAGAAACAAAAGGAAATACAAGTTGGTATTTTGGGTACGGTATGGAATGGTACTTAAGGGTCGTTAATCGTTATGCCTGGAATCGTTGGAATAACTCAAGATTCTAACAATCTAACAGTTACATATTGACCAATAATGTCAACTCACGAACTCTACTGAGTCAATTTGTAAGTAAATTTGAAGTTCAATTATTTTTAAATCAGTTTTCAAATTTTTTTTTGATTAATTAATTCACTAATCCCAAAATTAAATGTAATATATATATATATATATATCGCTACTAATCCAGTTCATAATATTATGCAAATTATTTAGTATAACATTCAAACAATTTTAAAATTTTAATTATTCTAATGCACTAAATCCAGAAATGATTCTCTTGCACGTATAAGTGAGATATGTAGAGATATAATTTAGGATAAATAATCAATAAAAAAGTCAAAACAATACTTTAGGAACTTATAATTTTATCAATTTTCATTTGAAATATATAATTTTTTTTTTGTTTACATAACTTTAGACCAAATCTTAACATGTATATTGCACACATTCACATTTCACTATGTCTCTAATTCATAATAGAAAATTAAAATCTTAACAAATTGTACCAAATTAAAAAGTAGTTTTAAATTTTATAAAATAACAATATCAATGTTCTTGGATACATAATTAAACAATAATTAATTATTTTCTTGTACTCCATATTACAACTAATTTTATGTATTATAAAGACATAAATTATTAATAATTAATTAATATTATATATTTTTTAAAAAATATTTTTATTAACACTAAAATATAAAGTTAATAAACATATTATTTAACTTAAAAAACACAACTTATTCCTTAAAATTATTCGTTTTTAACTTTTAAAAATCTATTTTTATTAAAAACAAAAAATAACTTCCGCTTTTACTTAAAAAGGCTTCGAATTTTTTTTTTTTATCTCACCAAACTTTCTAACAGTAAAAGAGAAACAAAAAATCAATTAAACAGACATTAAATTAAATATAATAGAAAGAAGTTACGGTACCAATCTTGTATTTCACACATTTGAAATCTGAACTCACCGCTACCGGAGATTTTCCTCTGCAGAATCACTTCTCAAGTCACAGACCGTTAAAACAGTTAAACAGCCAATCCAAGCTTCCTACTCATTTTCCAAATGCCGTGTAACATTAGTCTTGACTTCTCCCTTCTACTCGCCTATAGCACCATTACACGTGTCACGCTCGGGAAGCTTCCACCTACCTCACCCCTGAGCTTCGGTGCCAATAGCAATGGCTGCTTGCTCTTTCACCACCAAACCTTGACGCGGCTGCGCCTCCACGTATAGAAAAGAGAAGCATAAAACTTTCTCTGAAGTTTATTTGACTTTTGATTCAATTCTCCCTACCCCTCCCTCGTTACCAGTCAACACGAAAACCACAACGTCGTCGTTTCAGATCCTTCTTCTTCGTGCTTCGGACGAAAGATTCAAAGTTCAACAACTTAAATAATTGAACATCGCAAAAACATTCACACTTCGGACAATAAAAAATACAAATCTAACCCAGAAATTGCCGGCTCTTCTTCAATCTAGAAATCTTTAAGACGTATAAGAAGAAGTCCAAGCATCTCTCACTTTTATTCTCCTTCTCTTGGGATTCTTCGAACCGACCCAACAATGAGATTTCAGGTTTTAGCATTCGCGCTTTTGCTCTCCCTCTCGCCTTCTTTTATCTCAGCTCACTTCTTCCCAAACATTTCCTCGTTACCCTCCTCGATCCGCAATTCCACGTGGGACTCCTTCTACGATTTTGCCGGCTGTAAGCAAGGCGACACGGTTAATGGGCTGCAAAAGTTAAAGCAGTACTTTCAACGATTTGGTTATATGGCCACTGCGGATAACTATACCGACTACTTCGACAGCTCGCTTGAGTCGGCCATCAAGACCTACCAACGCAACTTCAACCTCAACATCTCCGGCGAGCTTGACGGCAAAACCATCCAACAGATCGTGCGGCCTAGGTGCGGAAACGCCGATATAATCAATGGCTCCTCGACAATGAATTCCGGCAAGCCACCGGCCGGCTTCCACACGGTGGCGCACTTCTCCTTCTTCCCAGGAATGCCTCGATGGCCGGCGAACCGGCGCGATCTTACATACGCGTTCTTTCCCCAGAACCAATTAACACAAGAAGCGAAGAACGCGTTCTCACGCGCCTTTGCCCGGTGGGCGGAGGTCATCCCAATGACTTTCACGGAGACGGATTCCATAGGGACTGCAGATATCAGGATCGGGTTCTTCTCTGGGGACCACGGCGACGGCGAACCGTTCGACGGGGTGCTGGGGACTCTAGCCCACGCGTTTTCTCCGCCAGCCGGACATTTCCACTTGGACGACGACGAGGACTGGTTAATCGACGGTGATTTAACGTTGTTGCCATCGATATCAGCGGTGGACCTTGAGTCTGTTGCCGTGCACGAGATTGGGCACCTGTTGGGATTAGGGCACTCGTCGGTGGAGGACGCCATCATGTTCCCTAGCATCAGTGCCGGAACCAGAAAAGTGCAGTTGGCCGACGATGATATTCAAGGGGTTCAGACGCTGTACGGCAGCAACCCCGACTTTAACGGCACTACTTCATCCTCCCCGCCGGTTCGGGAGAGCGACTCCAGTGGAGCCCACTATCCATTCGCTTCGTGGGGCGTTGGCGCCTTGTTGGCCGTTGGATATTTCTTCTCACTAATGTTGTAGATATTCGTTAGTTGTATATCGTTGGATTGGTTTACTTTTTTTTTTTTACTTTTCTTTTTGGGGGGCGGGGGGTGGGTCTGGGCCGGAGATTTTCCGATTTGATCACCCATGTGGGATTCATTCAGATTATCGGAACAATATGATTGATCATGAATTGTTTAATTTAATAGTTTTGTCAGAAAAAATAAAAGATAAAAAAAAAAAACATTCTCATTTGTGGAATTACCCATTTGATTTCGGATACCATCTTCATTCCATCGAAAAAGGATAAAAAAAAATAAAAAATAAAATCATGAATAATACTTGAAGAAAAGCTAAGTTATACCATACTTTTGAATCGAATGTCATATTGAGTATAGGAAATAAATTTTATTTATTGGTTTCAAACATGAGTTTTAATATTAATGAAATTAAAAAAAAAATTAATTGCAAGATTGAGATGTTAGTCTTCTGGAATTTTTGAATGTTTAATGTAATCTGTAAATAATGAATTAACAGTAATTTTATAATTATTTTTAATATAATTAAAATGCTTAAATTAATAAAGTTATATAAAAATAAAGACAATGTTATAGGATGTTTTCCATCTCTATTAACATTTGTTTTGCTTTATATGAAAGATAAGCTCTCTTAATATAAGAGATCATGATGTTAATGAGTAACAATTTTTAAGTGTTACTGGTCACTGATATTAAAATCTTATTATGATAGGGTAATGGTTATTATCTTTATATTTTATTTAAACATCATAAATTTAAATTTTGTTATAAGTATATTATAAATTGTCGTTAATTCAATAAAATTATAAATATAATATATTAATAAATTAGTAGTACTGTACTCGTCAAATTAGCTTAAGTTTTAACGAATTTATTATATTTTTAAATAAAAAAATATTTTATAATATTTAAATTCTCTTAATTCAATAACCACAACAAATGTAATTGGTTCACTTCTTAGTTTTGTTGTAGCACCCGGAAAGGAGGAGGAAAAAAAAAAAAAAAAAAAAAAAAAAAAAAAAAAAGGGGGGGGGGGGGCCCACGTCAGCAGCCGCGTCAGCAGCCACGTCAGCAGTCCCGGCCAACCAGGGCCTGCCACGTGACAAGATCGCGTCACTCCGAAAGGAGCCACGTTGGCGATCCGCGTGGGTGCGATCCGACGGCCCAGATCAATCACGCGATCGGACGACCCAGATTCAATCGCACGGACGGCCCAGATTCAATCAAAAACGAACGGCCCAGATTAAAACAAAATGAACGGCTGTGATCAAAAGGCAAGGGGTTATAAATAGAACCCCCACACCAGACCACAAACCCTAGCCGCCAGCCGCTCGCCGGAGAAGACGAACCAGAGGCCGACCGCCGCCACCCGCCGCCACTCGCCGCCGCACCGGGGAAATTTCCGACCGCCGATCGAGGTAAATTTCATACCCCCGACTTGTTTTTCCCCGCTGATTCCTCCTATGGCCAAATCGAGGCCGAAATCCCGGCCAAACGGCCGGAATACGCGGCCGAAGCCCAGCGGCGCCGCCGCGCCCCCTCTCGGTTTTTGCCTCCGACGAGGCCCTTCCCGGCCTCCGTTCGATGCAATTTTTATATCACCGTGATCACCATTCTTTTCTCTACAGGTTGACCGGAGCCGAATCACCAAAACACGAACCTCGCCGGAGAGCCGCTGCACCCGAGAGCGCCGCCACCGGTAAGCTCCGTTTTTCCGTGATTTTTTGGCCCCTCGAGGGCCCTAGGGTTGTTTTCTGACAAGGACCAATGCGAGTGTGGCCGAATTCGGCCGAAAACAGCCAACCCGAGGCGACTTGCCGCCGCCAGCGGCGGCGCCGTCGCCGGAGCACGGCAGAGCCGCCGTGCCGGAGTTGCGATTTGGTCCGAAAGGGGCCCTGGGCCTAATTTGGATTTTTTTTGGAACACGTGTAGGTACTGTTAGTGTGTTTCAGTTCCCCGGAAAAAATTCAGGGAAAATTAGGGACGGCCTGCAGGCGCACTGTGAATCGTATTCGGATCCCGAAAACAAGTAAGGACCCCTCACCCTATTTCCTATCACGGTATTAAAGTTCAAAATGATAAAACGGTATTTCTTGAATTAACGCATGTGTGAAATTGCTTAAGGTTGCTAATGGAGCCCGAGTCTAGTGTGATTGATGATTTACTGTTATTTGGCCTGTTTACAGCTTTAAATGCAAAATGAGGTTTGATGTGTTCATTTTACAGATTTGTGTGCATGTACTACGTTTTTATTAATTATGGGTTGAATGACTGAAGAACTGATACTGTATGTTGTCTGTTCGGCATGAATTACGATTTGCTTGTTTAAATGTGAATTGATGATGCTTATTGAGGAAAAAGGGAAATGAAACATTGTATAGACTGATAATTGTATGATGGGGTCAGCCTGACTAGATATCCTGGGAGATGGTGGACGGACCGGGTCCGTAGGGAACCCTACCGGGATTGTGGTCTCACATGCCGGACGGGGTATGGAGATCTTATGGTTTTGGCGCCCATACCGGACGGGGTATGGGGACGGCCCGTTTCACCCTCATACCGGACGGGGTATTGAGGTTTATGGTTTTGGCGCCCATACCGGACGGGGTATGGGGACGGCCCGTTTCACCCTCATACCGGACGGGGTATTGAGGTTCATGGTTTTGGCGCCCATACCGGACGGGGTATGGGGACGGCCCTGGAAACTGATTATGAATGTTAAAGGTTAACGGGTAGCGGAACCCCTATGGACCCCCACGGATACTAGTAGGCTGGTAAATGAGAAAAAGGATATGTTGTACAATGATTGAATTACAAGAGGCGTGATAAGTGTTATGTTTTACAGCTTAGATTATTCAATGATTATGATAATGTTATTGTTTTTCTCATATTGTTTTCATAAATTCCACCAAGGTAAGTGGATGGTAAAAGTTTTATTATTGATAAAAGGTTTTGTTGTAAATTATGCTCCATTGGTCTTTTTGTGGTTTTCTACCCACCTTTATCTCCGTGACGGTGAGATATCGTGATGTTCTTACTGGGCTAGTGTAGCTCACTCCTTAATTAACCATTTCAGATCAGGAAGACATGGTTCCCGAGCCCGTTCCGCAGGAGGACGACGAAGGGGATGCCTAGAGACTCTGTAGTCATACGCATAGTTTATTTTCGAGTTTTCTTTCTTAGTTAGTTTAACCTTTTATATTTTAAGTACGTTTGTTTGGTTTTTCGTGTAAGGGATGTTAACTGAAATTTTGATCTCGCTTCCGCATTCGATATATTTAAATACTCATTTCATTTTAATATTTTCCGGGGCCGTTACATTTGTTGTTAAGCAACTTACAAATATCAAATCACAAAATTAATTGAATATATTTAAATCAAACAAAATATAAACTAATATTTATTTTCTATATCATGATTGTTTGTAGTTTTAACAAATACTTTTAATTAATAATAATTGTAAAAACCATAACCGAAAAACGGTCCGAGATAATTTTTTCTTATTAAATTATTTTATTAAAATAATTATTTATTTTATTTTATTTTTATTTAATTAAAATTTTGAGAAAAAATAAATTAAGGACAAGATTGAAAATAATTTTTAAAAAAATTGTGAAAATTTAAGTTCAGACGGTATTTTTGAAAGAAAATTGAAAACAGATGGTTAAAATGCAAAAAAAAAAAATTATGTCATGCAAGACGACCTAGTCAGCAATCCCGATGAACCGAAGCACGCTGCATGTCAAAACATGCTGACTTCGGTGCCACGCTGGCGATCCGACGACCCAGATTCGATCCCGCGGGCATGAACAGCTCAAATTCGTTCCATCATTAGGCGCAATCGAACAGATGAAATCAATCACGATGAACAGTCCAGATAATATAAAAGTTCTCCCTACCCTCTCGAAATTCGATTCCGAGTATCTCTATGGTCAAATCGGAACAAGAGGGATGTTAGGTGAGCTGAAAATCGAAGGAAATGATCGGCAGAGCCATCGCAACCAAAACCCAAAAATTTCTCTAATGAGCCCATTCTCGCTTCCCGTTTCACACGATTTTCTGATCGTTGTGTTCACTATCTTTTTTTTATGCTGGTTAGCCAAATAAGGAACCCTAGCTGCGAAGGAGGACCGGCAGAGCTGCTGCACCTGGAGACCCCCTGTAACGGCCCCGGAATTTTGAAATGAAATATGTGTATTAAAAAGATCAAATGCGGAAGCGGAATAAAAATTTAATTAACATCCCTTACACTAAAACCAAAAACGTGCTCAAAGTATAAAAGAACAAACTAACTAAAAGAGAAACTCGAAAATAAAAGCTATAAATATAACTACGGAGTCTTCAAGCGTCCCCTTCGCCGTCTTCCTGCGGAACGGGCTCGGGAACAATGTCTTCCTGATCTGAAATGATTAAATAAGGAATGAGCTACACCAGCCCAGTAAAGACATCACACTATCTCACCGTCACGGAGGTAAAGGTGGGTAGAAAACACAAAAAGACCAATGGAGCATAATTTACAACAAATTCTTTTATCAATAATAAAATCCTTTACTATCCACTTACCTCGGTGAAATTCATAAAACAATATACGAAAGCAGTAACATTATCATTATCATAAAATCATATAAGCTGTATAACATAATACTTATCAACACCTTTGCAATTCAATCATTACACAATATATTTCTCCTCATTTACCAGCCTACTAGTATCCATGGGGATCCATAGGGGTCCCGCTACCCGTGAACCCTTAACACTTGTAATCAGATTCCAGGGTCGTCCCCATACCCCGTCCGGTATGGGTGCCAAAACTATAAACCTCAATACCTCGTCCGGTATGAGGGTGAAACAGGCCGTCCTCATACCCCGTCCGGTATGGGCGCCAAAACACATAAGGTCTCCATATCCCGTCCGGTATGAGAGACCACAATCCCGGTAGGGTTCCCTACGGACCCGGTCCGTCCACCATCTCCCAGGATATATAGTCAGGCTGACCACATTATACAATTATCAATCTACATAATCTTTCATTCTCCTTTTCTTCAGTCAGCATCATCAATTCACATACAAACAAGCAAAACAGTAATTTATGCCAAACAGACAACATACAACATCGGTATCTCAGTCATTCAGCCCATAATCAATAAAACA